ATGCTCCAGTTTTTTCAAGGCAACAAAAATTGCATAGTAATATTTGACCTTTACAGTGTATTGGGTTTTGTCTTTTCAATTTCATTTTCTGTAGTTTATTTCTGATGTAGCCTGCATGTACTGTCTGCATGTATTAGGATATAGATGTGTTTTGGGGTAAGGTGAGATGGTGGTGGGTGATTACCCAACCCTTTGTCACAGGAGACACTAAGAACTGGGTTCTCATGTTTTGGGCACTCATTCAACTTAAACCATTGGCATTCCACAGGTAGTGGAAAAATCACCAAAGATCTTGAAAGACCGTCAAGACACAGATCAATTTCCAGCCCTGTCCTCACAACCTTAAGCAAACATGTACTCCAGAACAGTTATATGAGGGAGAAGTGAGGAAGGAATAACCACTTCACCCAGTTCTAAAACACATCAGACACTAGTGATTATGGAGTTAGTCACTATAGTCTGATCTGTGATATATTCGATGTTAAAAAAAGATAGATTGTATTTTGCCTAATTCCTGGTCACAACCTATTTTCTCACATCTGTTCTCTAAAATCCTGCTTCACCAGAGCATTAATAAGCAATATCGCCCCCCTCTCAAGATGTCATTAAAATAAGTTATTTACTATGAGTAGTCAGAAGATTGACTCAACTAACACGCTTTCACTGTCTGGGAGGCAGCTCATGACACTAATGTTTCCTATACTTACTGGACCCCAGACCCCTTCCTTTGTGGGGCATCTTGGGCAGTATTTTCTGTAGAAATGGGAAAGAGAAAGGCTGGTCCCAAGAATGGCCCTGGGAACGCAGTCACCCACATATTTCTGTAGCAGGGGGTGTGATGGTGACCAGAAAAGCCATAGCTGCTCCAGCGCCTCAAGGGACTGAGGCCCACCTGACTCAGAAGAATATTTTACAGACAGAGCTTCACTAATGGGAAAGGGGAGTAACAGGGAGTGGGGAGGTCTGGATGGGAGTCCTCAGCCACCGCACAGGGCAGCGCAGGGCCTCAGGATCCAGAGATCCCCTCCTGGAACCATGCCACCAGTCCCTTCCCCTGGGTGGTATTTGCATCTGCTTCCAATAGACTTTGAAAACCAAGTCGATTAGTCTCCCCCTGGATTCAACCACTTCCCATTATAAACATAGTTCCTTTGCAGGCAGAATAGAAATCTATGTTCCTCTCTTCTCTTCAACTCTTTTCTGCTGTGTGCTTGAACCCAAACAGTGGACCATAGTAGGCTGCAACTCTCTTACAAGGCAGACAGCCAGTAAATGAACACGGCTCGCTCTCTCTGAAAATGAGCTGTTATCACAGATGGAGGTGGCAGGAGATACTGAACTGAAATAGATGAAGGCAACTTGGGTAGAACATTCTGTGCAGAGAACAGGGCCATGTAGGTGGCTGAAGGGCAGGTGAGGACAGTGACCACATCTACCAAGCCCCAAGAGTCTGTTTTTAAATAGAGGACTTTTAAATCTTTAAACCTGTTTTTAAATAAAGCACTGAGAATTCTCTAACAGAAGCCTCAGGATTAGAGTCTGCTGAGTTCTGTAGGAGACGAAAGAATTCTGTTTTGGAATAAAATTTCCAGGGCAGGTACTAGGTGGTTTGGCAAAAAGTACAATTGATCTTGGTAAAACTATGATGGTAACAAAAGGCAGGAAGGGACGACTGGCACGATGATTTCCCAGGTAATCCACAAATGCAGAAAGATGGGTCGTGAAACTGGGAAGTCATGAAACTTTCATGTTAATATTAAAACCTAGGCAACCTTCTGACTTTAGTTATCATAAAATAACAGGCAATTAAATTAAGACAGAAAACATCACTCAGCACTTTGACCTGCCTCAGAGATGTTGACAGATGACAGCAGCAAAATTACGCCGAGAAATCACACCCTTCTAAAAACCAACCCCACACAGAAACATATACTTACTATATTAAAATTCAAACCATATATCAGTATCAGAATTAAAACATATTTGTGCATGTGTTTAGCCATCTGGAGAGTTCTTCTGCTCCTGGCTCCCCCAGTCACGATTGCTTTGCAGAGGACCCAGCCTCCTAATTCTCCAGATAGCTGTCATTGTAACTCTTATCATCATAAAGTAAATCATGTTCCATGCTGACATATCTATATATTCTTACATATTTACATTATATTCTGTACATCTAACAACTTCTCATATTGGATGCAGGGAGAGAAAAAGAGAGAGAGAGACAGTGTGGGTGCATAATATGTGTGAAATTTAGATCATTTCAAACATCCTTCCAGCATGCTTGAATACCCACACCAAATAACTTATGAATTATAGTTAAGATTGACTCTAATCTGTCTCAAATTGGGAATTTCACATGAAGCTAAACATATATCGTTATTTTTCTGAGACAGTGAGGATACATTACAAATAACCTAGTTAATGCTTGACAAAAATAAAACTAGCACAAGCCTAGGTCTAGGAGATTAAAACTGACAAGTTCGAATTTAAATTCTAATTCTAATTTAAATGCCCCCCATACTTAAGTTTCTTCTTCTTCTTCTCCTTTTCTTAAGCTGTGATGATACATTTGGCAGAAATTCATGATTGCTGTTACCCCCTGTAAAAGTGGGTGTCAAGAATTACCCCCCTACCCGTCAGCACCCATTTAGGAGTGAAGAAATGTGAGATGGAAACTTCTAATCCACTGTGGGTGAGACACAGGGAATCCATTCCTGTGCTGTCCTGTTCGTTGTTTCAGATGTGGGACTGACTCACGGATTTCATGTTCGTGCTTCTGAGGAAGGTGACAGTCCTGTGTCAGGGTTGCTCTCGTGCACAGCGCCACCTTGGTGTGAGTCCAGGAACCCTGCAGAGGCGGGGCCACCCCTTGCCAAACCTCCCGTTTCACCACTCCCTGAGTCTTCCACACACTTTCAGCTCTGAAATCCTGTAATTTACAAAAGGCCATTGTTGTGCGGACTATTTCCAAAGGTTAGAGAAGGAACAAGGTCTTTTTAGTGAACTTCACTGTGGCTGGGTATTTCTCATCCCTTCTGAGATCGCATATTAAGTAACTAAGACCACAGCCGGAGAGCAGCCAGACCCTTGATTGAGCATTTATTAGCAAAAGTGGAGGTTTGATGGGTCAAGGGAAGGAAAACAGGGTGGATGAAGTACCAGGACACAATTTTTCCTCTTGGGAAATCTGTCTAAAAGCTAACTGGACACTATCTAGAACTTTATGGAGAAAAATAGATGAAATCTGCTCATAAATTGGTCCAAAGTGTAATCTTCTAATATATTCAGAAAGGAGTTGGGCTTCCCTCTCGGTTTCATACCTGTGGGAAGAGAGGCCCCACGTCTGGTCATCAGCATGCACTCAGCAGACATTCACAGACACACAGACTCTGCTGAGACCTTCAGCCTCTAGGGACTGATGCATGACGATCTGTTTGCCCTGGCGGTCCCTGGTGCCATTGGAGGAGGTTCTAGCAGCTACAACAGGACTGAGAATCAGAATGGAAGGACCCTTCAGAATCCTTGGAAAACATTAGATCACAAGGTTCATTCCCCAGCCTTGGACTCCTGATTTTTCAGTTATTTGGGAATTTTTTTAAGATTTATTTTATCTTAAGCTTTCCTAAGCAGAGATTTCATAGCTGTCCTAGTTACCCTGCCATGTCAGGGTGAAGCAGTAGTGGCTCTGTGGCCATAGGGTTTAATTTAGAGTGGGTGGTTTCATTAATCCATCAGGAGTACTGGGGAGGGGCACCCATTTAGCTGTTTCCTCCCTTGGGAGACCGGGGCGCGCTGCAGTGATAATTGGAGAGACTCAGCCTTGGGTGGGCCCTACGTGGTATGCTGAGGGGCTAGCTTTCTTCTGATAGCCGTCTTACGGCACTGTCTAGAAAGGCTACCTTTATCTGAGACCCGAGGGAGAAGGCATTAGTGCTAAGGGAGGGAATTCTAACTTGCTCAGAGGAGGGGGTTTTCAATTTGCAGGGGTGTTAGGTTCTGGTGATGAACAGCTGGAAGGCACACTCTTCACTGCAGGTTACTGTCCCTCACATTGTAGGACCTCCTCCCTGTAACAGTACACTGTGTTCCAATCAGGCATCATACCAACAAAACATCCCCACACGTTTCTGTATTTCCCACAGAGAAGCAGCATTAACCTTGTTTGGAATCGAGGCTCTTGCTGGGACTAGGACATACCGATCTTTTGACCATGTTGGTTTAGGGCTTCTGGGAAAGAGACCTGAAGCCATACACTATATGGTATTTTATTTCAAAGTGTCCCGACAACTTCTGGCTGCATGTGTTTGCCTCAAGCCAAGGCTCACAGGCTGCAGGAGTGTGTGCCAAGCTGGCCTGGACTGAGGATAGGCCACTCACTCGCAGTGGCCAAGATGGCACCTGGGTGGTGGGCAGTACATGTGTTTTGAGAGTAGCCAGAGTCGTGGTAGGGACACAAGCTGTCACTTGACTTTGAACTCCAAGGGCAAAGGCACTGGGCCACAGGGGGCCTGAACAGGCACTGACAGTCCACAGAGAGCTTCTTGAATGGGTTTTGGGTGTCTGAGGCAAGGCCCCGGTGGGCATGGAGAAATGTGATGGGCAAGCCATGGGGTTGGGTGTGGTCTCACAGCCCCAACAGTTTTCTCTGCTCAGTAAAGAGTCACATTCTGTAACTCAAACAAACTATCGCATACATTGTGACATCCAATTAATTGAAAATGAACCCCTTACACACTTGGGTTTTAAGGGATGCTGGAGCTGCTGGAAATATTCTGAGGAGCATTATAGCTTCATGCAGGAGGGAAATAAATGAATGTCAGCTTGTAGGAAGGCATGAGCATTTGGACAGAGAATGCCAATGGTTTCATATTAAATTGTGTCCTTATAACAGTGATTTCAAAGACTGCAGATAGCATCCAACATAATAAGAGAGAGCTATGATACAGGCTAGAAGAAGACCTCATGTGTTATGTTGCATTGTTTGTTTCCTTATACAACAGGTACACAAAGGATCAAATCAGCTTTTGGAGGAACTGCTATAGAATTTAGCAACACAGAGCTTTGTTTCACTGAATTGTTTGAAGCTACTTGGAGACAGCTTTTGCTGTAGTAGTCAAAATTCACCTGTGACCCACCTCAGAAGAATGAAGACCTCTGGAGCCCCATCTGATGGCAGACTATGGAACCTTCTGGAAGGCAATCACGCTGCTGGACAGCTGCTTTGGTCTGGAGTGCTGTAGGGGTATGGATTACTGTGTGATGAAACTGACCTCAAAGCACAGAGAGCAAACCTTTTAATAAACTCTTGCCAGTTTCCCACTTGCCCAAATCCTTTTGGCTATATCCACAAAGCAGTGTAAATATGTGGAGCCTATTAGCTTTTATAATCAGTCAACGTTCAATAACCACTCTACTTGATCATGGTAGTTATTATTCCAGAAGTTGTGACACATAACTCCTCATGGATTGTTTTCTTATCTTTAGAAATATTGACATTTGAATACTTTTTTAAGAAATCCAGTGTAAAATTTCCTAGTTTCTCTCCTAAGCTGATTCTCTGAATGCCCCAGGGATGTGAACCTTACCTTCAGCAATCACTACCCAGGACAACTCTGAACCTTAAACCCCCTGTTGACTATAGCCACCCCAATCTCGGAGGCACCATTTCCCCAGGTGTGGAGAGACTCACCCCAAGTGGTGCCCCAGCCCTATGAAGACATCTGGGTTCTGGGCTTGTCCCAGTCCCTGAGGGTCACTCTCATTGCCATTTTAGATCATGAGAGTATTTCCCTGGATGAGGTCTCTGTCCCCACCAGTCTCCAGATATATTCTTTAACCGATGCCTTGGGAAAAACCTCAAGCAAGGATCTTTTCAGTCTTCACAAACCACAGGCTTGTATGACTAAAGATGGATGAACCACCTTGGGGGTTGGGCCTAGGCTTCCCCTTATGGAAAGCCTTTTTAAAGAAAGAAAATTCTGAGCAGAATTGCTTGTTTCAGATGGGCACACTTTGTGCAATGGAGAAAGAATATTAATTTCTATAAGTTAACACAATGAGAAAACCATTTTTATTTCATGTCCCATTTAATCATGTTCCCCTGTCTCAGTCCACTTGGGCTACTATCACAGACCCGGTGGCTGAAACTACAGGACTGCATTTTCTCACCTTTTCGGAGACTGGAAGTCCAGGATCAGGGTGCCGGAGGGCTGGCTTCTCCTGAGGCCTCTCTCCTTGGCTGGGAGGTGCCCCCTTCTCTTTTTGCTGCGCCCTCCTGCAGCCTTTCCCCTGCAAGAACACACTCCCTCGGTCTCTTCATCTTCTTATAAGGACAGGAGTCCTATTGGTTTAGGGCCTCACTACCCTTATTACCTTAGTAGCCTTAATTACCTCTTTAACTGGCTATTTCCAAATACATTCACAATGTGGATTAGGCTGCAACCTATGAATTTTGGAGGGGACACAATTTGGTCTGATTGTGGACTGAGGTTTTCCTGTGTGTGCAATGCCCTGTGCTCACATTGGAATTCAGGCTGTAGGATCCTCCGTCGTTTGTGCTCTGGTACGAACACTATGAGGGATAACAAATTAACATGATTGTATTTTCCTATTGGTCTCAGATCACCTGACCTGTATAGGGACTGACAGGACATGTAATAAACTGAGATAGATGAATTCCAAGCATGTTGCTGAGGAAGTTAAAGTCATGTCCTGGTTTGGTTAGCTGCGTGAGTCAGTCTGGCACCAACAGGGCTCTGAAACCAGGATCCCATATGGATGGATTAGCTGCTTCAAGACACCAGTGCTGATGCAGGGCCCAGAGGTGCCACAGGTCTGGCTGCCCAGCCCTGAAACGCCTCCATGAAACAGCCACATGGGCAAAAGCTAACCCATCACCATTTCCTTAGCAAGGGCCAAGATACAGTCCTGTAAACTCATCTGTTAGTAAGATCCTATTTCCCTTCTGTGGAAATGTACTTGTCCTTCACAATGGAAATGTGTCTGTGAGGTGCACAAGCCTGGTGCCCAGGTCTCGCTTTCCTGGGTTTGGACACAATAGAACTGCAGCGTCACATAACCTCTGGATTCAGTTTCCTGGGGTGCTCACTACTCCTTCCTTCCCTCTTCTGCTCCCGGAGCCTCCCTGAGGCCCAGCCTAGGTCTTCTGCCTATCTCAACGGCCCCTGCCAGGGTCAAGTCCTTCCCGATGGTCTCCTTCCCAGTGAGGGGGCCTCAACCACAAGCTCCCTGCCCTGCAGATGTGCCCCCAGACCCGAGGAAAAGGCTTGTGGGTGCTGGAGCAGGGGACCCAGCCATATTAGGCATTTTACTCACCCAAACACGACTGTGCAGAGGATCCTTGCATCCCCTTGCTCCTAGGGCTCAGTGCCCGCACCTGCTAAGCCCCTCTCCTGGGGTCCTTAGATTGCAAGGTCCCTTCCTCAGTGTCCCCAGCCCTTGGTGACCCCACCCTGCAGTGCCCTAGCCTGCAGCATCCCCAGCACTGTGCCCTAGCCTGTGGTGTGCCCAGCCCACAGTGACCGCAGCCCTCTAGGTGCTTAGCCGGGGGAGTCCCAGCCCTCACTGTCCCCAGCCCGCAGGCCCTGCCCAGGCAGCCCATAGAGCGAGTTGCCTCCATGGAGGGGAGCCCCCCGGGACAAGATTTGGGAGGGGGCAGAGCCTGGCCGGACCAAGCCTGATGAAGGCTGCCTGGGTTCATCTCCACTGCCACAGGTTCAGCCGCAGAGCACCCGCTTCACCCAATTTATTTCCACTATGGCAACTTTACCTGCTGCCATTTTGATAAAGGAGTTTGGCTGAATCAACCTTTACAAGTAATAACTTCACCAGGTAAGGTGGACTCATTTTTTTCTACAAAGTTCAATAGTCCATTCCACTGTAACTTGGAGTTTTAAAAAGACTTTTTTTAAGGCCTCCTGGTTGTTTTTCCTCTTATCTTTTAGAAAACTGCCCTGAATGGACTGGAAAGTCCCAAAGGGATGACCATGGTCACAGCCAGCTCTGCTGTGAGGTGGTTGCCCAGAAACGGGGTGTCCAGCTGCTCCGCGGGCCAGCCTGTCCTAGGCCCTAGGCTCTGGGGTTGAAGAACACACAGTGGAAGGCGTTACCTCACACCATGGGCAGAAACATGGTTTGGAAGTCCAGGGTCAGAAACTGCAAGTGTCATAACTGTGCCTGTGGTGTTGATGGCTTACCTGTGTAAGGGGACCCAGTAGGCGTAACTGGTGCTGGCCTACTCAGACCTGAAGGATTGAAAGACTGAATTTAGAAATAATTGCATTTATGTGACCAGTTCCTGAATAGTTTGATGTGCAGTTGCACTAGTTTGTGGTCCAGACCACCACCACCTCTTGTGTCTCTGTTTCCCCCGGAACAGTTTATCCACATCCAAGCACCATGGTGTCCTGGGGGCCCCACCCCAGCATGCAGCTGCATCCTGCAGCTCATGGCCCAGACCCTCTGCCCTCCTCACATCACAAGCCTGAGGCCGAGCCCAACTTCTCCCACTAGCCCCACCTATCACCTGTCACTTGTGTCATTTCCTCTGTGTCAGTATTTTGCAGGTTCCCAGCTTTCCCTGGAGTCACTTCTGATCCACATCCCCCCACCCCCACTGCACCCCTGACTCCATTTCCAGAGAGTTCTTCCTGTTCTCTTTTCCTTGTCATTTCTGTTCATCTGGACACTCTCCTAGATGCCTGCTGCCCTGCATGTGCTCTGTGAGGAACCCGAGTCATTATTCCTCCTTCCTTCCCTCCCTGACCTCCAGCCCCTCCTCCCTTCCCTAGTTCACCTCTGTCCAGCCTGCTGCAGCCTGGCTGATCCACGTTCATCACCAGGTTTGCACAATGTCAAGGGAGGTAGGACCCTTGGCAGTTTGGTTCCAGCACCTTTCTCCATCTTTCTTTTCTAACTCTTCTTTCCACCAAATCTCTGCTTCAGGCTCATTGATTAATGTGTGGCCCTTAAAATGTGTCAGGTGCTTTTTGTTCATTCTATTCTCTAGTCTTTGCTATCTTTTCTTGCAAGTCCATCCATTCCACAGAGCCCTGATTTCCCAGCTCCACTGTCCAGCTCTGCTCCATTAGTGGGGCCTTTTCAAACACGCCCCTGTGTTTTCATGGCTTCCTTAGAATAACAGATGAGTTTTCTGCATCACGGGTGGTCTCAGATTGTCCTGTCTCCATCCAGGTCTGGGCGATAGGGTCTTCTCTCCTCCTCATTTCTAATTTATGCCGCTTCTTTAGCTTAGCATACATTTATTAGGCATCTGTTATGGGATAGGCACTCTGCTAGGTACTAGAATTATAAACAATGCAGATACTCTGGTCCCAGGACACTCACAATATAGCAGTGGCTATCCACATAAAAAAAGGCAAGTACAATTCAATCAGGAAACAGTTGAGTGAGTTGTTACGGTGATGGGCTTGGCTCTGATGCATCTAGATTTAAATCCCTCCTCCATCACTTATTACCCCTGCTGCACTCAGTATCTGTGTCTGGTTCCCTCCTCTGAGAAGTTACATTGCCAGTAGCTCTATGCCAGGCAGGTTGTGGGGATGAATGGGATATTCTGATGCAGCACTTACCCAGCCCCTGGCTCTGGGTCTGGGCCCAGCAGCCAACCCTGGCTGCTACTGTAACTCTGCCCAGGCTCCAGGGACACTGGCTGGGGCTCAGGAGCAAGGAGGTTCATGAAGGACATTTCCCATGTGCGGGTAGAGGCATTAGGGCAACAGGATAAGATTTGAATGTTTATAAAATGCTTCTCTCTCTTGCCATTCTGAGTACTTACTCTCCTGATAAAATCTGTACCATGGATGGGCTTGATCCAAAATATAAGAAAGGGGAAGTAATGAATTAAAATGTAGTTTCTGAACTTACAGTGTACTTAGGTAGTCCTGGCAGCTCCTGACCACTGTTTGTTTGGCTTATTTGAGGAGGCCACTGGTCTGAGACTCTCAGGCCCTACCTGTCATTGTGTACAGTTTATCCACATCCCCGAACAGTTTATCCACATCCAAGCACAATGGGGTTCTGGGGAAATAGTAGGAAGTCTCTCTGGCCACATATCTGTACTGTGGATATGTGGACAGCATGGCTAGATGAGGTGTCCAGCTAGATTCCTGGATCCATCTCCAGTTGGTACCAGACTCAGAAGGGGAAGAAAGATGTGTGACATCATCCTCGTAACATACTCCCAAAATTAACCGCTTTCTCACTTATTTTGTGATTCACTTTCTCTCAAATATCAACTCTTCCCAAAGCCACAGATCCACAAATTCAATTCCCTTCTGCCTCTTCTCCATGATAAATACTATTTTTTAAATTCTTCTTTCAAAGACTCTGTAGAGAAAATCGCAGTGCTATTGCCAGGTTGCTCACCTGACAGACTGCCCACGTGCAATGCTATCTCATGCATGTGTAATACTTGGCCAACCGTGCAGGTGCATGCTTACACATGTGTTGGCAATGAGCCATTATTGTCTGTGTTGCTATATAAAGCTCCACTTGGATTGTGGATGACAGGCTTGCTGCCTGTGATGCAGCCAATATAATCTAAGTGCTCAACCGGCCGCCCGAGAATAAAGCTGAGTATGAACCCCTTTCCCCATGTTCTGATGTCGATTTTCAGTCTCCGTGAATCCAGAGTGAACTTGCTAGGAGCCAAAACCCTCCAGCACTACAGCCTCCATGGCCTTTTCTCTAGTTTTCCGCAATCTTGTATTATTCATAAGTAATTTGTATTACACTTTTACATATTTGCTTGAATCTGATTCACCCAACACTACTATCTTGAAAATGACTTCCTTTCCTTTCCTTTTGTCTCCCATATATCCCAAGTCTCAAGTTGTCCTCACCTTCTGCTTTTAAACTCTACAAGTCTAGTATGGAAACATATGTGGTGGTTGATGTAACGTGTCATCTTGGCTGGGATGTGGTGCCCAGATATTTGGTCTAACAATATTCTGGATGTTTCTGTGAAGGTGTTTATGGATGAGATTAAACATTTAAATTGGTGGACTTTGAGTAAAGCAGATTACTCTCCATAATGTGGGTGGGCCTCATTCAATCAGTTGAAGGCTTTAATAGAACAAAGACTGACCTCCCTGAGCAAGAAGGAATTCTGCCAGCTGATGACCTTTGGACTTAACCACAACTCTTTCCTGAGTCTCCAACTTGCAGACCTCTGCTGTCATATTTTGGACTCTCTACAACAGAATGAGTCAGTTCCTAAAATAAATCTATGTATCTACATATCATCTATCTATTTATATCTACCTATCTAATAGCTATCTTCTCTGTTTTATTTCTCTGGAGAACCCTGACTAACAGACATCTATGCTGGCTTTCCTTTCCTCTTTGTCCTGTCTCCACTTCTTCAGTATCTCTGGGCCCCACACTGCCCCACTTTCTCTCTGAGCCCAGGAAGTGCCCTTTCCCCTGGACGCTGCAGCGAGCAGGCCTCACATTCCCCTTTCCTGCTAGGAAGCTGCTTCTTTCTCCTTGCTGCTTCTAACACCTTCTCCTCTCTAACCCTTCTCCTCCTCTGCTGCCCTCCCCACTCAGCCACCTGGAACCTATCTTCTGTATCTATTTCACTCTCCAGGTAACAACCCTGATTTGGGGGTACATGCAGCTCACTCGGTTTCATTTGGCTGATAATTTGGGTCAATTTTAGACCAGCTGAGGTATTTGCGGCAAGTCATCTGGAGTTCCTCTGGTCCCACTTGCTTGGGGGTTAGTGCCAACTACTTCCCTCTTCATAGGTGACTTGCTGAGCCCCATATGCTGTTCCCAGTCATGTGACCTGCATGGTGTCCTAACCACTTTCTCCAGCTCCTCCTTGGCTGTGAGCTGTGATGGCTCTGACGCTGCTCTGTTTCTCCATGGACAGCATGCAAAATGCCACATCCATGCTCTGCTTTGCCCAAGTTATATTTAACTCACTTCCCAGCCCAAACCCCACTGTCACCTGGAACTGGCCATTCCCCGCCATCTAAGCCTATTTTGCAGTCACTGTTTCAGCCCCGGGGAATGTTGAATTTGGGACTTAGCTATTCAAGCACCACTAAGTTTTTCCTGAGGTTTTGGACTCTAATTATCTCCGAAACCTCCCACTTAATATTGGTTTCTGTGCAGATACAAATCTTGGTTCAGATATCTTGTTCCCAGGAATAAGATTTAGAGTAATTATGTTCTGAGGGATTAATTAATCAAACTGATAATTTGGCCTTCCCTGCATGTAGTTTCTTGGAAGCTGGCCTCCTGTTTGTCTGCAGACTCCTCAGCACACACCTATCCTGGGAAAGGTTTGCCCACCGCCACTCTGCACCCCAGCATCACGTCCTCCTGACTGCAGAGCCCCCATGCTGGATGGCCCTCCCCGACAAGTGCTGACTCCGGCTTTGGGACTGGCGGGTGTGTGCACGGTCACCCGCAACGGGAGCATGTGCAGGGTGGGCTGGGGATGGGACAGGCTCTCTCTCTTTTTCTCCCAGAGGTGTCCTGGTTTGGCCTGTCCACTGCCCGTCATCCTTGCCACCTCTTCCCCTTCTGTCGGTCTGCTGCTCTGGGATCCATTCCTACTGTGAACTTTCACAGTCTGTTCTTCCTAATCACACACACACATATTCATGGTAGTTGATATTAACTGATCAGTGCAAATTCCAGAAGAATTGGCACAATTATCTCCATTTAATGGGTAATAAAGCTGAGGCCCAGGCTTCCCTGAACACCCACTAGTCAGTGACAGAACTGTACATGGTGCCTTTCTCCTCCTCCTCCCCCAACGAGCACGTGTTGCCAGGAGCACCCAGGGGCGAGTGACCTCTCTGCCCCCGCAGGATGAGGCCTGTCTCCTGGGTGAAGGCAGGGCAACCAGCACCTCTTCCAAGTCAGAGAAGCAAAGCCCATAGGCCTGTATTCTTCAAAAAGAACCTTTTAAACAAATTAGTGACAACTGTCTCTGAATTTATGATATCAAGTGACCAATGACTATTAAAATAGAGTTTTTTTAAAAATCAGATATATTAACATTTGTTTTCCAGTTTACAGAGGTTTCCACCATAGTTTCTCTCCAGCTCCTATAGCTCTGTCTTTAACACAACTGGATTAAATGTTTGGAACTAAATTCTTGTTAAATAATGAATTTGACTGATTATGATTTTTAATAACTGCATTTGAGCAAAAATCAGTTTGTAATGCACTAACTATGAAAGTTTACAGATAAACGGCATTCTCCCCAGGTGAGCTAAGGCTGAACTCCATCTGCTTTTTGGGTTTATATATTTTCTGCAAAGACCAAGGAATTTGGGGAGTATGATTTACAGTTAAAATAAAAATTTACACTAATACATAGGTTTTTATGATGGAAACTCTCAATTTTCTTTAAAAAATGGCAAACACACATAGCTACACACCTAGTCTTATGTACATGATTCCATGTCCATGGCCATACACACACACACACACACACACACACACACACACACACACACAGTTGTATACATACACATGCATTCACATGCATAAACCTCATGCTCTTCCATTATAAAGGAATACAAAGTGGAACTTAGGAGGCACTAAAAAAAATATCAAAAGTGAAACCATAAAATGACAGGAATAGCAACAAAAGGGCAGCCTAGAAGTAGGTCGGGCATGACCTCCCCTCCCTGGCTCTGACACATGGTGGGAGCTTAGCTGGTCTGTCTTCATCTGAGATGCTATTACATTTTCAGCCCCTTTGAGAACCAAACACATATATGCTCTTTCCTTTCTTGCCCTCTTTACCTCAAAGTTACATTTCACATGAGAAATAATCCAACTTAATGACTTCTCAGGGGAAGATATGTCTAGATACATGCATTTATTGATAGTGTAGGTTAAATGGAAATTTAATCTAATATGCATTTAAGTGTAAAGAATAAGAACAGGCACATTCATTATTTCTATTTATCTGCAAACCAGCCAAGCTGGTATTACTTAGAGATCTCTCTACAACCGACTGTTTTTGTAAAAAATGTATATTAAGTAAAATGGAGCTTGCATCATAATTTAGTGGTTCTGCTAATATGCTTCTTGATTCTGATCTACTATAAATTTGTTGCAATTAAGTGATAGAATTATTTAATGTGATTTTGCCTATCTGAATCTATTATCATTTGTCCACAAGAAGCTATCTGGCAAATAACAAGAATATATATCAATGATAGGCAAACAGATTTCCTTTCTCAGCAAAGTGTAATATGTAATTTAAATTCATTATCTGAGAATGTAAGATTACATTAAATACATAGAAAATAATCGCTCTGGTCAGGAGCAGCCAAATTTCTCCTATTGAAATATGTCCTATCTCTACCATATAAAACTTCTTTATCTTGAAAAACAAAGCTGGTATTTGTATCAGATTTGCTCCCTTGTATTTGTGAGATTAGTGTATGTATCCTACATTTGTCCACAACTCTGTAGCATTCAGACCAATGAACAGTCCACGAGGCTCCCTCCTTCTGTCAGATGGGACCAGTCTTTGGCCCCCATCTGCTTCCTCTCTATTTTGTATGAGCACCAACATCCCAGAAAACACTCAAACTCAAATACTTATTAATACTAAAAGCAAAAATGCTGGCTTTTGGCATAGCTGGGCTCCTCTCACAATACTCCCCTCCAATTCTTGAATGCTCAGATGAAAAGAGAAGCACAAAAGCTACCCACTGCCCTACTTCCCAGATTGAACAGTGAGGCCAAGACTTGGTGAATGACTTGCTCAGGTGTAGAAACTTTTCAAAGAGCAGCTTTGAATATTTATGCATTAAATAGTATGCATTTCTTTCCTGAGGCTGCTTCTTTGTGACTGAAGTGATGTCTTAAAATGATGACTGTTTCCTGTCTTCACCATTGTCCCTGCAGAGCAAATGACCCCTGAAGATGGTGGGGGAGATGCTGACACCTCAGAAAGCCGTGCCCAATGGGCTCAGCAGTGGTTCTCCTCAGAAGCTGGGCTCAGGGCTGCTCTTCTCTGAGATGCCCCAGACTCGGCTCCTCCTGTTGTGTCACCACCATGAGCAGCTCCCCCACCTCCTGTGCTTGCCCACTCATCACCATCCCAGTGGACACGGCCAGTGGGAAGCTCCCAGGGAGTCTTGCTGAGCTCCACATTCATCTTCTAAAAGTCAGGTCCCAGGAAGGAATCTATTCACAGCTCTCCACACTGACTAAAGGAGAGAGGTGGCACAAAGCCCCTCCCCATCACCCCCCATCACATTCCTGCATTCAGGGAGTATGTATTGAGCAACTGCTGTGTGCCAGGTCTCAAAATAGGCTCTGGGAATGGATACGGGGTGAACATGGAGGCACAGTTCCCACCCTCAGTGGTGGGGTGGGCGCAGGTCGTAAACTAGTCAGGACATAACAGACAACATAACTGCAGAAGCTGTATGTTTCCTGAAAGAAATGATCAGAGTGAGGAAAGAAAGACCCGCTGACAAAGGTCTACATTACGTGGTTCATGACTCTGAGGAGGGGCATCTGGGCTCAAATCTGAACCATAAAAATAAATTTCTTGAACTCCAGCTACTTTTGCCTTTGCTCATGAAGCTCCTGTCACAGTGGCCTCACTGCGAACCTCGAGCTCCATGCGCTCTGCTGCTGCAGCGCATGTGCTCAGAGCTTTTCTCATCCCCAGGGTGCTTCCAGGAACCCCAAGATGAGCCTTCCTAACTTAGGGTACTCAGGGTCAACGTGAACTCAGAGAGGTGGCTCTCCACTTCTCTACATAGTGCAGCCACGTGATGTTCTCTGCCACACCACCCTGCCTCCTGAATTGTTCTCACCATTCCAGAAATAAATTCTAAGTCCTCAATATCATTTATCCAACCTTGGTTAAAAGTCTAGTTGAAACTGGAAACAGCAGGTAATTAAAAAAACAATCTTGAGAGAAACTAAGAGTAGCAGCTATCAAGATTCAATTTCAAGAAAGGCAGTGAATTAAATGTGTTAACTGCTTGATTAAGTCCTAAACCTCTT